GTTTATTTAATTTTTATTGATTATTATTTATTATTATTTTTTTAATAAATTTTATTAAATTTTAAATTTTATTTTATTTTATTTTAGAATTCCATTTGATAAAGTTTTAAATTTTATTGTTGTTATTGTATAGGAGAGCAATTAAGAATTTCATTTTTTTAGTTAATTCTGTTAAATTTACCGTTTATTAATTTTTTCACATCCCATGCATAGCATGGGTTTCACTAGTTTGAATCTGATAACAAAATAAATTTTGAATTTTGTTAATTTAAATCTTAATTTTTTTTAATATAAACTATTTGTTTATTTCTGTTGACTAAAAAATGATAAAAATAAATAAATATTTTAGTCATTAAACTTAAGTAAAATTATATTTTAGACATTTTATGTATACTGACATTAGTTTAATGACTAAAATGTTACTATTTTTTTTTTCTAATTAATTTCGTTAAATAAAAAATTCTAATGGGGGGTATTTGTAATTTTTTAAACCACATAGAACAATCTGTACTTTAAGTAAACCTGATAGTGTGTATTTGTAATTTACCCTAAACTTTATATAAAAAAAATTATGCCCTTCTAAACTACAAGGACTTAAACAATAATTTTTTTAATACAGATATTGTTTTAAACAAATTACAAAATATTAAGAAAATGAATGACTTTTTTAACAATTGCCAAACATGATAGAGTTTGTTAATTTTGTTTTGTCTCAATTGTCAATTAAACAAATTAAAATAAAAAATAATTTTTTTGGCTTAAAAAATAGTTAAGAAGTGACTTTTTCTAAAATCAAATAGAAATAAATATATATTTTTTCTATTAAAAGTGATTGTTGGTGAAACTTATTTTTTTTTTATATAATAAAAAAGAAAATGAGAGTTACATGTGATAATTTATTGTTCTAAGAATACTACAGACTCATACTTTCACCTACAATGATGTGACAAGGGAGTTGAGTTTCATATTATTGAATGTTGTGGGGATATATTTTCTGAGTACCAACACGTGGCAAGGTGACGCCGACGTGTCAGCCGAGGTGCCACGTGTCCTGGTCGTGACGCCGAGGTGATCTCGGCAAGGCCGAGGTTATCTCCGAAGATATCGGAATCCGAGATAAGTGGATAAGGGACAAGAGTCCTAGAATGAAAAGGGAACTCAACCTGGATGAGGGACAAGAGTCCTAGATTGGGAGAAGACTTCAGTTTGGGTAAAGATAAAACTTTTAGAGAGTTTATCCTAATCCCACTGGGAGTCCCAAATTAGCAGTAATCCTAAGTCTATTAGGGCCAGGCTCCTATTGGGACTAGGATTGTATTAGCTATAAAAGAGAGGCACCCCCATGGGTCTAAGGTATGATTTTGATACTCAAGCTTGTAAGTTTAGCACTTGATTTATCTTTGAGAGATATACTGACTTGATCGTCGGAGTGCCCCCGGGTGGTCGAAACCACTGCGGGATTCTTATATTTCTATTGCAGGTCAGTCAGGTGCCATCTATTCTGCCAGTGCTCTCCAGCTAATTACTAAGCGGGCAGTGTGGTCGAAAAATCACCCACACAATTTGGCGCCGTCTGTGGGAAAGAAAGAAGAATAGATGGCTAATGACGGACAAAAGGATCAGATTAGAGACAACGCTCCTGCTGGGAGTGGGATACCTATCGATCTCGACGTTGAAGGGGACGACTGCAACACAGAAACTCGTGACCAGAGTCACGAAGTAAAAGACGCCGGCCAGGAAGGTGACGCACCAAAGACAACAGATCGAAGCGGATACTACAACGAAGATGACCTCCAGGTATGGAAGCATAGATACTTGTGGAGGAACGAAGACCCTTCCAGAAAGGATGTAAAGATAGGGGGCATGAGCGCTCCCAAGGAGATAATATTCAAGTATAGAAGAGCTCAACCTGAGTGAGCAAATCCCGGATCCCAGATCCCAGAAGACATGATCTCGGCCTAGATGAGTAGGTCCGAGAAAAGAAGAGCTCAACCTGAGTGAGTAGATCCAAGATTCCAGAAGATAAGATCTCAGCACCTGAGTCTGAGAAGAGAAGAGCACAATGAGCAGATCTCAAATCCCAGAAGATAAAAAGGAAACACACAAGATCAGACTAAAGTTGGCCAGAATTGAGAAGTATGCTAGGAA